GTGTGTGTGTGTGTGTGTGTGTGTGTGTGTTTTTTTATTTGTGGTGATAAATAAATAAAGGGAGACTAGTATAGATCTATTTCAAACTATTTAGCTCTCATCAGCTAGCCATACCCTGACTGGGATTTGAAAATCTAATATATATATATATATATGGCTCTCATATATATATGAGATATATATATATGAGAGCCATATCGTATTTAGAATGTAGAAAAGTAGATATTGTTACATTTCATCTAATGAGGGAGGGAAAGTGAAGAGAAAGTGTTTCAGAGTTCAGTTTTGTGGCCATTCAATTTAAAGAATGTAAGAAACACAGCCAAGTTTTTTTTTCATAGATTCTAGAATTTTTCCCGCATGATAACCAACATGCAACCCAAGGACACCATGAATCATTTTTCTAAGCAACTTTGAGCAACTCAAATTCAAAATTCCTCTAAATTTTTGGGGCATCAAAAAGTATTTTGGAAAAGGGTCTTTAGGCTAGGAAAGAATTTTCTTCCCAGACCTCAAAGTTTACTGGCTGGTTTAGCAGATCAGAGGAAGCAGCTGTTTAATGAGTATACTTAAGAATGGATCCTAAGGAGGAGAAAAGCATGAAAGCAAGTTCCAACACAAACACAGAGAATGACCTTCTCAACCCAAATATGCCAGAAGATACAATGTTGAGCCATTGCGCCAAGTCATACTAGCCCAAGGAAAACCATTGATTAGAAATCTGGCCTATAAATCATGTGTATTTCTTTTAAGTTGACTACCAGTGAGACTGCCTTTGTGAACCTAAAAAAGAGAAATAAGATGCTGAGAAATCAGTTACTTGAGGAGTTGGCATAGAAGGTTGGCATTTTCTGTCTCATAAGAATTATTTGGAACAATACCAGGAATATCTGATTTTCTGGAAAGAACAGACTATGTGAAAATAATATGTGAACAATAAATTTAAAGTCTAACACTAAAAGACTAGGATTTTAAGACCAATATCTCACTCAGAAGAATAAGAGTAACACAGCATAACTTATTCCATTTGAAAGAAAAGGAAACAAATCATCACACAATAAAATAATTAAAAAGTAATTATATATATACACACACACATACAATAGGAGCATGATGGTTCAACAGTTAAGAAGCTGGGCATGTTGGCTGGAAAGCTGACAGTTCAGATTCAAGACATGAGTGTTGCGTAACAAGGTGAGCTCCCATTACTTGCCCCAGCTCCTGCCCACCTAGCAGTTCAAAAGCATGCAAATGCGAGTAGATAAATAGGTACCACTTCCGTGGGAAGATAACAGTGTTCCATGACCATGGAAGCGTCTTCAAACAACATTGGCTGCCTTGGATAAGAAATGAAGATGAGCACCACTCCCTAGAATCAGACATGACTGGACAGAAGAAACCTTTACCTTAATATACTGGTACATTAGTATCCACAGATACTAGTGATTTTGAAGATGTTTAAATTCAGAATCTGAATTTTAAGTGTATTGGCACTTTTTCTCTCTCAGGGCAAGCCTATGGAATATCTGCCTATTAATGGCACAATATACAATGACTCATCTGCACTTTCTATATTATATGCTTCATTTAATGTGTTCACAAATATTTCTCATTGTTTTTATTTAAGAAGGGAAAAACACCATTCACAGAATTTAATTTTCTCTACAGAGGAAAACTGGGAGAGAGCAATATACGCTAAAGATCTTATGAAATACAATGCAACAGAGAAAGGGAAACATCAGTTCAAGTCATTGATGAATGTCTTGTGGTCTAGGACTATGTGGCCTTCAAAAGTCCCTTTGCAACCAGCCTTCAAAGTTTTCTAACTCTTAACTTTTCAGCTTGACTCCTGATACTTAAATGGACACATGGAACTCCCCAGTAATCTCCCTTCCAAATATCAATCAGTTCCAACCCTGTTTAGCTTCTAAACTAAATTTTGCTGGAGCAAAGTCGGTACAGGAGTTACTCTTTGTTGAAATCCTTTCTGATTATAATTATAAAGAACTGAAACATGGTTTCCTGGCATTTATAAGGTTGGAAATCCATCAAAACTATAGAGGAAGCTGTAAGATAAGCCAAGCATAATTTTTAAAATCGAAGACAATCTCCAACACCCTCTTCCAAAAAGCCTGACCCATCACTCTTCCACCCAAGGTGGCCTTTGCCCATTTAACAACTAGCTTCTCCTGGCTTAAAGCTACATATTTGTAAACAGTATTTTTAGTAGTAAGTGGGGAAGGGATTCAGAGTCAATTCGATCAGACAGTATCAGCATTCAGAATTCTGCATAGCTAGGCTACGTGGATATGAAAAGGTTCCCCTGTGAAAGGAATGGAGAGGAGAAATAGGGAAAGTAAAGGTAAGTAGCAAAATTGTTCTTACTGTGCTACGATTAGGCCAAGGGCATTTTCAAATGGGTCTCTTGTGACCCAGAAGAAGTCAAAGCTTATGTCTGTGATGATCAAATTTAATGCACAGATCTCTGCGTGTAAGGCGTGCCCGCCAGGGATATTACACGAAGGGCTTTGAATTGAAATGTCAAAAACTATTAGGAGAGAAATCCTGGCTGGT